GATGAGACCCACTTTTGTATAAATGGAATGTGAAAATCCAAACTCCTGAGGAAAAATCACACAATTACTTCCTCCCAGGGGTAATCACATAATTACAAAATGAGGCATCTTTGAGGAGAAAAGATACAGGATAATTACAAGATGCTTTGTCATCTTAAAGATTAGCTGGACACCACATAAAAAAAACACTCACATTCATAGCGACACTGTGTAAAAAGTGCAGAAAGGATTTGAGTTTCACCTTGTTCGCACACGATCTAGCATCTTAAATTCCTTTTAAAGGCATCAGGAGTATTTACTTGTATGTATTTTTTATTTGCATTATCCTAAAATGACATCACACATGCTTAATTGATCATTGATTATATTAAATAATTGATTAAATAATTGACCACTTTTTAGTTGAAAATGAAACAACAATTACATGATGCATTTAATATCAAAGAGAAAATATGATCATAATGTTTGAGTATTGTTTATGCACAAATAATCACTTTTGTGTCTCGTTGCTTGCATGATGTCTATACAGTATATCCCTGTGTGTGCTGTAGCTATCGTTCTAATTCACCTTCAGGTTGGACCGCCTGCAGTGATGATTAGAGACTTCAGTCTGCCATACATGGTCTTCCTGAGTCCTCCTGATTTAGCTACAAAAAAAGGGGAGAAGTAAGGTCAAAGAACTAAAACATGAAAGCGCTCTAGTCCAGGTTGAGTGTTCAGTGCCACGGCTTTTTTGTTTTTCTGAAATTAATACATAAGGATTCATAATAGCTTTTAAAGTTTTAATCAGGACCCTAACAAGTATGCATGCAGATTGAGCCCATAACAAATTTACAACAACCATCTTCCCCACCGACTGCTAATCCCAGGATTGACAGCTGCGGCCTTTAGGGAGCACAATGAATAATTTGTGGGCAGAAAGAGCTGCAGGCAGCCGGAAAATTCCGAGACAAAAGTAATAAAATGGTGAAGTCAACAGCTTCATGAACTATTTATCTTCCTGGGACTGATATGTCCTCCTTCAGTCTCTTTCTGTACTGTTCCACTCCAGCCACCTCACTTGTCAAAGCCCATAGCAGTCCGGTTTTTATTGAAACTTTGATTCAGTTTCCCAAGTTGTCACTTTCTAAGGATTGTGTGCAATAAAGGAGACAGGTTATTGGAGAGAAGAACAGGGAAAGGGTGTAATGAAAAAATAAACCTTTGCTGGAAATAGAAAAGCCAAAAGCCTGACGATACAGTGTGAGTTGAGAGCAAGCACAAAAGTTGACATTGATCAATAACATTAATATGGGCTGCTGCCGACAGACTGCTTCAGGCAGATGAACTATCTGCTGCTGAAAAAGACAAGACAATGGTGACAGAGTAAAGCTAGTGTGTGATATTTAGCCTTTAAAAGTGTTTTGGTCGGCTTGTGGTTGATCCAACTTATCAGTTATGGGTGTAAAGTGAAATAAATAAATAAAATGTACAAAATGGTATAGAGCAAATAGTTAGGATTTTGTTTTATTGGTGCTAATGTTATATGTCTGCGACTTCTTTAGATAATAGCTTTAAGTCATGCCTTTGTGATCAAGCCTATTGAAATTGTTAAAGAAATAGGTTGCCAGAACTTCAAGATACTCTCAAACATGTTATTATATACACGGTGGTATTGGGGTTTCTCACCAGATAAGCAATAGAGTTCATTCCAAGCAGGCAACAATAAACTGACTGTGCTGCAACGATAGGGAACGCACAGGTGAAACTAATTGTGTTAATTACTGCTTCCATTTAGTGTCCCAGTAAGCCATGTCAGATTACCAAGTTAAAAAATACAAAGGTGACAAAATGTACTAAACTCATTGTTTATTATCTAATAATTACACATTTCCTTATGTAGCATGCCAAAATGTCTACAGAGTCTATTATTATCATCTTTAAGCTTTAGGGACATAAATAAAGCAGAGATGACCTGCCCTTTGAGAATGCTTTACACATAGGCCTACTGGTGTTAAGTAATACTGACACATTACTTTTGTTTTCCAAATATTTGAGGTAACTCAATTAAGCTATGCCACTATTCATTTTGTTGTTGTTTCTTATCGACAAAAATATCGACGTCATTTATTTGAACATACTTTTTGTATTAACCATATAATACCATTTATTTCTGCAAGTACTGTTCATTTCTGTATATTTATATTTAAAAAATACGTTTTAATGTAATAAACATGGTAACACCAAATAAAATGGCACTGAATAGCGTAAGAGTAATTAGCCAACTTTATTAGCCACTTAACAGTTAGCTAACCTGTAGCTAACATAAGCTAACTCACAGGCTTAATGCGGAAACATAGTTGTTTTATCGCCTTTTATAACTTCACTGCAACGACATAAAAAAAAAAAAGTTAGAATGAATTGGCCACACCAACGTTCTTACCTGCGCACTGAGCCCTCTGGGCCACCGTACGAATCTCGATAAATACGTCACATACAGTTTGTTCATTTTGAAATAACTGATGACAAACTTACTGGTGTGATACACTTTTATAAAAGACCCATATAAATTGAAACAGAAATCTGTCAGATGGCTGTAGGAATGCATAATATCAGTCTGAATAGTTCATCCACTTGTGTTTGCACACAAATTGATTTATTAGGTATCAGCCTGCAACCGTGGCATATTTTTGATTAAGAGTGATATTTTTAGCATTTCGGTCTCATTCAGCATTGGCTCTATTTTGTTTTCAGGACGGTACCTTATTTTTAACATCTACGAATAAATTAGAATAATATTATATAATTTATAATATTTGCTTAAATTACAGATTTTATACAAAATAAACTAGGTTTGTTTTAATAAAGAGTAACAGGAAGGCATGTCCCAGATTTTAAGAGCCTTATGTGAACTCCTGCTAAAGCTATGTTAACACTTGTTATGATCATTAAATGTCTGAAGGCCATTTTGTTATCTAAATAGTAGAAAAAGTGCATGTGACATTGAATTGCATTTCCCTTGTAGGTTTAAATCCACATCTAAAAATTCTCCCATGCAGTTGGAAGTGTGTCTCTACACAACACAAGTACAAATAAATGGCTGTTTCATGTATTACAGGCCTGCCTCTTATTTTTGACCTATCTCAAGCTGGAGCGGGACGAGCCTCTGTAGCATTTCTGTCAGCATTTGACCCCTAGTTGAGCAGAGCCACTTCTATGATTTCCTCTAAAGGGTAAGTACTGTACTGTAACTGGGTTGACTGCTCTGAGTGCTCTTTCGTGGTCTCACCCTCTTTTCTGCCACTTTGAATGTCCAAGAGTTAATCCCATTGTACAGAGCGGCGGGAAAGACAGGGAGTTCATGGTCCCACTTTTATCATGATTTATTTAAAAATGGAGATTAAACATTCAATTCCCTTCAAACCATTTTTTCATGTGAGCGAGCGAGACGAAGCTCTGTTGGTGATGATCACAGAGAGCTTGTATTGCAGCTCACCTCAATTACCTGTCCAAAATGTTGCTGTAGCTGTCGGCCAAATGGGGCTCCCGGGTGCTGAAGAGAAAACACACAAACTGTCAACATGTATCGAAAAAGGCTCTGAATACAACTCTATTTCATTGTTTCATATCAAGCATGGTGGCATGATCATTTTCACAGATGCTTCTTTTGAAAACAAATTGAATAATTCAATGTATGGATAATTATATTCAAAAGACCTATAGGATCTTGCACTAATTACTGGTTTACCAATTATTTTGTGTTGATTAGTTGGAAACCTTCCGTGCCTGCTGTAATCTGGAAATAAATGATTTATTTTGTGCAAAGTATGGCTCAGTGACATCAATTCGAAAAGAAAAAAACACAAGAAAAACATAATAAAAGTATATGAAAGTTGCCCAAATAAGACGTGTATCAAGAAGCATTTGTGCATTTCATGGCTCACTCCACAGACCCTTGCAAACTCATACTGTCTTAATACAAAAATGTGTTATGACCAAAAATGGGAAAAACACAAAAATGTGTACAGAAAGACAGGATAGAAAAAAACATCATACATTTTTTACGAGTGCAATTTCCCTCTAAAACCACTCAATAAGTACATTGACGTATTTTACAAACCCGTAAATACTGTGAGTAGAGAGATGTGGCCTTCTTACCTGGTCTTTGTGAGCGGATGTGGACCTGTATGTGTTTGTCAGTGTTCTGCACTGAATGCAATGTGAAGGTGAGTCAGCGGGGAGCTGCTGTTGGAACGAGCAGGATTGATGTGCTCACAGCAGAAGGCCTCGGATCCATCATAGTCCTGCCTGAACGGGGCTCTCCGGTTTATTCAGCACGCTGTATACCTGCGGTACTGTGCCCTTTACAATCTCTGCTGCACAGGAGGCCCCTGCAGAGGTCATTGTAGTAGCTTTATTCACACACGAATGTGCACGCAAACAGTACAAGAGCACACACGTGCACCACACCCACTGTTGCCGAGCAGACCTGTGCAGAGGGCTAAATTAGGAACAAAGCTGTGTTACTGGAGAATGAATGATGTGCATCAGATGGACCAGATGTGTGTCTAGATGCTTCTAATAACCCTGTAACACATGTAACAGTCAATAAAACACTGAAAGCATTAAAAAAATAATCACCCAGAATGTAGGAATTGAAACTAAAATACATTAAATGTTGATGCACATGATGAGTTGTTGCTTGTTGGAAAGCATTTTTGCTGAGTGTGTTGACAAAGTTGTTGATGCACTTTCTAAGCACTGCAAGTCTATCGTGTGTTGTCCCTCAAAATTCAATAACTGAAGCTGCTTCAGGGTTTTTAAATCTGTTTTCATACACCCTTGAGGCTCAATGTCAGCCAATTCAGTACAGGGTAAAAGCAAAAACAAAAAAAAGAAGCTTCTTGCATCAGTGCTGTCAAACAAGATGGAGCTGCGGAAGTCAACATGAATAATATATTTATAAAATACATTTAAAGCAGTAAAATATTTCTAGAAATATTTAAAAGAAATGCACCTCAAATAATACACCTTATCAGTCATTCCCATATCAAGACAATCCCCACCGGTGCTTAGAAAACAAATATACAAAAAAATCAATACCTCTTGGAATTGCTGTAATCATCCTTAACGTAGTAAGTCGTTACATTTAAGTCCAGCGATGTCAGTCATGTTCTTGGGGCAACGCTGTCATTGATCCCTGCTGGTATTAAGAGATTAAAAGGATCCTGTCTCTCCGTGTTGTTGACAGGCGTTGTGACTCATTACGGCTATTAGCATTAAGCTGGCTCATCAATAAGCACTTGGTTGATCCATCAGTCTTCCGCTGATCTAGCCCAGGGGACCCCGCCGCAGACCCCTGCCAGCTCTGAGAACACCGCATGGGCATCTGTGGGTCAACTCACACGCATACACACACACCTGTTTTTCTGACAGGGAGGAAGTGTCACTGCGAGCCTCTATTCATTAACGTTCTCTGATGTTGAGTGTAACCACTACTGCATGTTAGTGTTTGTCAGTGCATTCTTGTTTGACATTTTGTTGGGTGACGAAAAAATACTCGTCAAGTTAGTGTTTTCGCTGAATCCGTCAACTTAAGTAACGTCTTCTACTGTATTTTTATGTGCCCCATGTAGGTGTCGGTATGTGTGTGACTGTGAGAGTGTCGGCGATGGCAGTGTCAGTGTCAGTCAGCGTGAGAGTATGCAGTGTCAATGTGTGACAGGCAGCCATTGTCTGATAGCGTACCACAGTGAATGTCTCAACTTACAAACCTAGTCTTTGAGAAGGAGGGAACAGAGCGAAATAAAGACAGGGACAAGAACAGAGGTTTGTGGGTGTTACAGTTCATCATGCAGGGCCTCTCCCTCTGCCTGGTCCAGAGCTCCCATCAGCAGCAGGGCTCCAGTAGTTAGACCCTCCAGAAAAACGCGGGCAAAAATCCTTGATTATGCGGGCTAAAATCCTTGATTATGCGGGCTAAAATCCTTGATTATGCGATCAAACATGCGGGGTTTTATGTGATTTTATGTGGTGAAATTGCGGGAAGTTGCGAAATATGCGGAAAAAATAAATATTGGGATGTCTTATTTATTTATTCTCTCTCACACACAACCTGCCACTAACGTTAAACCCCTTTACTATTCAATTAAACACATTCAATGTTTATTTATTGTAAAAGCAATTGGGCTATTTTAATCACACTCTCTCTCACACACTCTCTCACACACACACACACACACACACACACACACACACACACACACACACACACACACACACACACACACACACACACACACACACACACACACACACACACACACACACACACACACACACACACACACACACACACACACACACTTCTCCGCCTCATTCTGTTTTCATTTACTCGTTCGTTATCTGACCAGCTTCAATCTTGTAGGCTTCTCACCTCGTTTCTTGTAGCCCTCGAAAGGGTTTTGGAGGTTGATGCCTCGGTGAACGTGAGTTGTTTGGCTTTCTTGTCCGCAGCAGCAGAAAGCATTTTCGAATGTTTGAATGAATCAAAGTGGGTCGTCACCGTCGATGTTCTCTTATGCTCCAACACACAGTTGCACGGGGTGCAGAATAGTTTCCCCCCACTTTCGTGCAAGACATCGGGGTACTGCTTTGCCCGGTCTTTAGCAGAAATGTTCGTCGGTAAATGAGATGGATTCGATTTTTTCATCTTGGTGTTTTCTCTCTCGGTAAATTCTGCGATCGCAGAATCGCGTTTTTCTGGAGGGTCTAAGTAGTGTTGTCTCTGACGAAGAAGATGAAGGGGTGATCGCCGTAGAACAGCTTGGGCTTTTCTACGTTCTCGTCTACATCGGTGCCTCCTTTCCCAGCTTGAGGAGCCAGCTCCAAAGAAGCCCAGTGCAGAACACCCCCCAGGTGGAGTTTCCCCTTGCCCTTGTCTGACACCATGGAGAAATCAGCCACCTTCTGGTCCCACGCTTCGGTCAAACCCAGAGCGGACAACTGTTTCTGCAACAAAAAACACAGAGTGATTGAATCTGCTTAGAATCAATTATCCCCAAGCTTTGAGGTCATACTAAATCGGAAGCGAGGAGAACCGCACTGAACCCGGCCACATGTTCAACGTAAACATAAACCCACCAAAACAGTGAATCAGTAACTTCTCTAAAGGAGTTTTGGATAGTATTGTTTACTATTGTTTATTTACTTTCCAACCCCGATAATTCGAGATGGGAAGGAGGCTGACGGTTGCCCTTGTTGTGAGCTGACAGAACAAAGTGGGCGACAGGCAGAGAGGAGACGGAAGGAGGAAGCGGTGGATGAATAATTTAAGAGTGATGCCCCGTGACCCACAGCACCTCCTTTGTTTTGGCTCTGATATGAATTCCACAGAAAGTCGTCGTCATGACAGGTAGTTTATTCTCCCATGGCAGAGGGCCACTCACGGTGACAGGCTTCTCCAGGGGCCAGATGAGAGCATGTGTGGGTGTGAGCGTGTGACTGTGCGGACGAGTGGGAGGCCACGACTGGAGGAAAAGTTGCAGAGGGAGATGAGTGGGTGAAGATCTTGTTTTTTTCTAGCATTGTTAAACTTTTTGCTAATCAAACTCTTTTATTGGATATATGTGTTACAGGCAGACACGAACAGTACATTTCGAAGAGTTGTCTAGGTGACTGTGCGTGCTTCCTTTGGCTTTGTTTTTCAAAACCACATTGTTGTAGCTCAGTATAATACTGCTCAGGACCACATGCTAATGGGCAATTGTAATAATCCATATAGAATGTCTGCTTTTCTACTTAGAAGTTGGGATGTGCATGCGAGAGGAAGTTAGGCTGGATCATGTCGGCTTATGCCTAAACACGCAATAAGTAGATGTATATACAGTTGTAGGCATCTGTCAATCCCATTTTAGTGTTTGCATGCAAAGCTCCGCTCCACACAGACACACACTTCCTGCTCTAATGCACTTTTATTGTCCTCATCCATTATTGCTCCACTCTTCCTCTCTCCTTCCACTCGCTACCACTACATCACTGTCTTCCTCTGCTGCTCTGCCACTTGCCTGGCAACCTCATCCCTCATCTGCCTTTATTTTATCCCACTTTGTCTCACTCTCTCTGCTCCTAACTCAGTCTTTTCTCTCCCCACCTCATCCTTCTCTGTGTCTGACAGTTCAGCTGGGCCCGGTATCCATTGCTCTCGCAAATTCTAAAATCATTTCCAGGTTCTTACACTCCTTATCTAACGAGGAAACAGAAGCAGATGTAAGCGGGTAGATTCTGCAAATTGTTAAAGACCAATGAGTGTGTGTGTGTGTGTGTGTGTGTGTGTGTGTGTGTGTGTGTGTGTGTGTGTGTGTGTGTGTGTGTGTGTGTGTGTGTGTGTGTGTGTGTGTGTGTGTGTGTGTGTATGTGTGTGTGGAAACGCAGCTGGTTTCTGGGTGTCTGCCTCATTCACTTCTGCAGTAGTCCATGAGGAACGTGCTCTCTTGGCCTACAGTAGTGCTGGTGCCACTATGGAGCATATAAATAGTACCAACCAACCCCACCTGACCTAGCCTTCCCCTCCATCTCTCCTACCCTTCCTGTCAGGGCAGGAACACTTGGTAATTATTTATTTCAAAATATAAAGTGTTTAAAAATTAAGGAACCCTGTGGCACCGCGTTGGGAAACGGACCAGGTGTCAGAGGATCCTATGGAGGCCACATGAGAGATGTGGCGCTGCATTAAATGGTGTGAAAAACCTTTGGGAGGTGCCCTTTCTCTCTGAAGCGCCACATGAATCTTAGATGGAACATCACTGGGCAGACTGCTGATGCCTCGCACACAGCATCAATGAGCTATTTGTCTGAGAATTTACAGCCACAGGCATTGTCAGCCAGTGGTTTCCTCTATGTGTGTGTAGCTTACAGGCACCAGCCCTCAGGTGTGCAGCACTCCAGTCCGCATCACATTATTTCAGCTCGATGGTTGAGCCCACTAAGTAGCGTGTTGGGTGAACCTGTGGGCGTTTAAAGGGGATAGGTTGTGGCAGCCGGGACATGTTACAGCTCTATCTGTGAGGAGTTACTTCAAGTAAGAGCAGCCTTTAAAATGACTGTAGGAGGTGAGATGAGAAGAAAAATGAAGATATAACGGGGTGACTATTGTCTGCTCTTTTTATATCAGCAGCTGCTTGTGAACTATGGGATTTGAACTAGGAAAGGTGCCTTAGGGTGACCAAACTGAGGTAGGACTACACAAAGCACAGAGTAAATATGTCAACCGACATAAGAGTTTTGTTTCTCAACAGTCAAATATGAGCACCTTCTTAATAAAAAGTAGAGTACCACAGACAGAATCAAGTTGGCACTAGGCTATTGCTAACATTTCATGAAAAACGATGTCTATGATTTGTTGGAAAATAGTTCAATAAATAACCACTAATTTCATAAAGCCCAATATGACATCTTAAAACAGTCCAAATTTACAAAATGTCCAGTCTACAATGATATGAAGCAGGTAAACAACTAAAAATCGTCACAAAGAAGAAGCTGGAAAAAGCTGTCTGAAAGAATAAATTGTTCAAATCCAAATACTTATAAATCAAATCACTTGTGTTGTTTGTTTTTTTGTTAGCTACAGCATTTCCTGTCTGCCTCTTCATTTGTCCAGCATAAAAGAATAATAATAATATGAAGGCAATTTATTTGTACATTATTGAACACCATTAACGGTATGATTTCTTCCTTCCACTGTCAACATAAACCAGAACTAACCAATTGTGACACCTACTGTACATTTTGATTGAATAAACCAACCATTAAAAAGGACTAAGACTAGAAATCTTCTCATCTCAGCTTCTCTCTCATCAGTTTCCACCTCCTGTTACCTCTGGCTTACCAATCACACTCGCAGACTGTCGTCGCCTTAAACAACTACAGACGTGTTCTGCTTAAATCAATACTGCCCTTTACATTCAGTGTGGGTGGAAACATGCAGTTTGTAGCACTGGCTTCATCACAGCTCCATGTTAAGGACACATCTGATGCAAGCTTTTAAAGAAAGAAGAAACTTCTCTTTCTATGAGCTCTCCTGAGGCTTCTTTATTGAGTCTCGTCAGCAATACCACCACCGGTGTGTTATTTACATGGGCTTTTACCTATTGTGCACAACACACTCTATGTGTCTCATTCACTCACTCAAATACATGCAACGCTTTTTATTCCACAGGGCTACTTAAGCGCAAATGAAAAAGGAAAAAAGGAAAAAAGGAGCCGCAGCTTTGTGTGGAATATCTAAATAATGGCCATGAAACACTACTGATTATTTATATAACGCAGGGCTGAGGTAGCTGTGTTAAAACAGCTGTCCCTCGACACTGTATACTGCCGAGTGTGCTCTTGTAAATATTTGATGGCCTTTTGACCTCATTATCCGTGATTGAGTGAGCTCTCCGGTGCGCGCTCATATGTCTTAGTCACCGGCTGGAGATATAGCCAGGATGGAGCTCAAGCTTCACCATTAGTGTGTATGTGTGTGTGGCCTGGTCAGCACTGCATCAGAGACAGAGGGAGAGAGCGATGAGGGTGGTTTATCCAGTGACCTCTGGGCCAGGCTTGTTAAGAGAGTTCTCCGACGACAGACTCCGACAAAGTCTGCCCTTCAGCGAAGGAGAACGCCGCAAATAGGCAGACGGAAAGAAGGAAAAAAGGCAGATTTCTGCAGCTATTTATAATACTCTCTCAAACACTTTTAACCTTGTCCCCGAGCAATCATTGACCCCCCTCGTCATCCTCCACCTCTCCTGCTCACTTCCCATCCGAATGTCATTCCTATTTAGGTCAGCAGAGCAAACGGGCGGCCGCTGACTGATAGCGTATTACAGTAAAATGTGAGACAAAGGAATTAGATGTGTGGGACTGATAAGACGGGGAGGGCAGAGGTGAGGGAGGGAATGGGTGCGTTTGGAAGTGGCAAATCCGTGCCACATGACCCAGAGGTGCTTCATTTGGTTTGTTCTTATCTGTGTCCTTGCTCAGCGGACACTGGCGTTAGGGTTGGCGTTACACACACTACTATGATCATCTGTTTGTCTAGATGCCGCCCTCCTATTCCAGGAGTCCATGGCCATCAGAGGCACTGACAGACAGAGTGGTAAACAGTGTTAACGCGCGGTGATGAGCAATTATTTGCCCGTACCAATTGGAGATATGATCGTCAGAGAGGACATGGCAGGCTGGCCACAGGGGCTTGACAGACGGATGAAATGAGATGGGAGTGGGTTGAGAGTTTGTACAGTCCTTTCATAATGATTCCTCAAATGCACCTTCGTTTCCTCGAGAGAGCAAACAGAGGCGGACAACTCTCGACGAGTCGGAGAAATAGAGGCCAAAACATTCAAGAGCATTTCCATAATTAGGTTAGGTTACATAATGAGAGCAAAGCTACTTTTAGTTATTTGCAGGAGTCTATCTTTTTTCTTCTGTCTGGCAAACTCTCTCGTAGAGACAAAAGACGATTTGTGTAACAGTTTGTATACTGTTCTTTCCGTTGCAAAGTCATGGCCATGTCAAAGGGAGTTGTTTCAAGCTTTAGTTCTAGATTACAGAGTCCTCCCCAGTGCGCCCTGACAGTGTTAATGTCAAAAGCGTGTTCCTCAGGGCATGGCGAGCAGAATAACATGGCAGCACAACTCTTCAGAGATGTTTGTTAAACCAGAAAGAGGCCAAAGTGGATTTCATCAGTCCATGATGAGGTTACAATGTACATCTACGGAGGCCGTGGTAATAGATTCCAGGCAGCGTACCCTGTCCTAAGGAAATGGGTTTTACCGACATGCTGTGTGTCTGTCAGGTTCAACTAACCTCTCTCTTACTGTGTCTTTCTCACTCACCCACAATCTTTTCCCACCAGCAACTGTCTCTCTCTGACTCAAAGAGTATTTCCAGACTCAATGCAACCTTTTAGAAGCAGTGTGACTTCATGCAGAGTCAAGGGAAAGACGCAACACGCAAGAGGATGCAAACAGGAGGGATCTTGCAATATGAAAATGTTTCAACTTTAAAATTATCTAGAGGTTGTATGACTTCACTTCAAAATCGTACGAGGCAACATTTAAATGGAACAAAAGTTGAGGACAATTATTTAAGAAATTAACGGAAAATTGTGAGTTCTGAAATGTAAGTATAGAGAGTCAAATGTCTTTGCATCCAATCTAAATAAGTCTTAAGGTCTGTCCTTAACTAGTTAAATCTGTAAACACTACTGTGTTTTTCTCACATCAGCCTGCATTACTTGACAAAGTTACTACGACATCAGCATCGTGCTTCCCTATGCAAGTGAAGAAGCTCAAATCTATTAAGAATCTTTTTGCTCTCAGGGTACAAAACATTTGTATAGCAGCCTCTCATTTTGAGCCAATGCTGACGAACATTTCTGCCGGATGAAATGGCAAACATTGTCCTTGGAATATGATTTGTGAGAAAAATAAACTCCACTCTGTGAACCCACAGTTCAAGTGCAAGTGGGAGTGTTTCAGCGTGATAAGATCAAACCAGGACCAGAAGTATTTGAATCATGTAGCTTGTGAAAAATCAGGAGACACGTACATAAAACTAGACTCCAGGCAAAACTAGACTCCAGGCAACTGCAAAGGAAAAAAGCTAACCTGTCGAACCGTGACTGCAGGTAAGGTCAGCGCACAAAGCTCGAAAATGAAACTTTCTTCTGGCCTTGACCCACATCAGCAGGATATTCTCAGCGGTGTGGAGGCTGCGTGATTCTAGCAACTTGTCTGTGACCTCGCCCCGTGTTAAGGACCCTGTGGCCTGGTCAAATACATGTTCTTACGCTAGCTCGACAAGCCTCCAGCCTTTTAGTCGGCGGCCCCCGACACAGCCTCTGGTTTGGCCTGTGTGAACCTTAACAAGCCCCATGCACTTATATTAGCATCAGCAGTCACTAAGCTGCTGCCTGTCTGTCTGCTCTGACTCAGACCGGCTACCTGCTGGCTCTGAGGCTGAGGGCAGCACAGACTAACAGCTGGGCGGTGGTGTGACCCTAAGAAAGGAAGTCTGTGGGAGGGTCTGGAAGCCCACTGAGGAGGTATGGTAATCTCCAGGCCTCTTGACCCTATACTAGGGTCTGATTCCCAGCTGAATGATATTTCAGCCCAATGCCCATCTCCTCAAGGGAGAGTGGAGAAGCGTGGGAAGGAGTGACATTTAAACCCCCCTAAGTCAGTCCGCAATGAACTGGAAGGAGCAAGGCAAGCCACTGATTCAGTTACTGGGAGGCAGAGGAAGAGGACGAGAGAAATAGGAGAGAAACAGAGGTCACAGGTGACGAATGTATTGAGATGGACAAGAAAGAGGAAGAAATGACATGCAACATGGAGGAAGAGTAGTGAGGCAGAGGGAAGACATGAATGGAAATTGCAGAAGCGTAAAACAAAGAAGAGGAGACGTGGAAAAACCAAAGGTGAGGATGAAGAGGAAACCATGAGGAAGGATATCGTGGAGATATAAGAAACCGTATGAGGTGGATTGAAGGGTGATGCAGTTTGTGGAAATAATGAAAAGTAGAAAGTAATAAAATAGACAACAATTGAGGCTGCTGCAGGGATCGACTCGGTCAAATCCCACTATAGTACTAAAAAAACTGAGAACAGGGAGCCTCAGATAGTCAGGGACATAAAGAAGCCCCTCACAGAGTTTCTTAGCCTATCAGGTGAGGAATAAGACATCAGCTCCAGCTTTTATCAAGACATATCAGAGCATTCAGCATTAGAGATGCCACTCTAGCCTGGGACTCAAAATGTGAGATATATGGGATGAGGTCAAGCTTATTCCATCTTAATTTAATGTTATCTTTATGTCTTTTTTTTTACTAAAAAAACTAAATTCAACTACTGTAAGTTTAACATACCTTTTAACTACCCTGACTTTATATTCATTATTAAAGAGAACTTACATACCAATTTTTGTTACAAATATTACACCAAATACTGATAAAACTAGAAGTGTGTTGTACTGACCTTCAGACTGAGCGTGCTGGTGATGTTGGCCTTGGGCAGTGAGATGGACACACTGGTGATGTTGGTCTTCTCCAGCCACTTGGTCAGCAGCTCGGGGGTCAGGAGCTTCTCCAACCTCCCCAGATCCTCCACATGGAAGGGCATGAGGAGCACCATGCTGGCCTTGCCCCCACATAGGGGCGCCTCCAGAACCTGCACCATGTTTTGCACGTCCTCATGGTAACGGTACAAACCTGGAGGACAGTGACAGGCGGAGGCACGCACAAGAAGATCAGAGAGGAAAGGAGAACATTTTCCATAAAGTGATATTTACCGCTTTTCAACAGTAAAGTGTGAATCAGCAGTTCTCTTGGAAGTTCAGCAGCAAGTTCTCACCTGCCTAAAAATAATAAATTATATTATAATGAAGGAGTATATACTGTAAAGTTATCTCCCTAACATGTTTTACTGCTGCTATTGCAGACCTATCCTCTTCCTTGTTGTTTGACAAAGTATAAAATATGAAAAGCGTGTTAAATAAATCATAGACACAAAAATTGGAAAGCCGCAGATTTGGACTTTACAGATGTTCAAACAATTTCACAACTCAAATTGCTTTGCTGGCAGGAGGTCAGTGGCAGCAGACCGTGTGTGTTTTTTTACCTGCTCTGTGCATCATCATCTCTTTGGTGTACTTCTTCCCCAGGAAGGTTCGAAGATCTTTGCCCCCCTCGCTGAACTCTCTCTCCCACAGCCCTGAGCAAACACACAAACAAGCAGAGGACATTTTGAATGCAGAACATCAGAGCCTGTGAGGAAATACTTAATGATTGGAAGAGGGGAAGAAGTGGACAACAGGTTAAACAATGCCATGTTCATAAAATACATTCCGACCTCACGCACGGTGACATCGGCTGACACTGCTCATGAATCTTCAATATCTATTGTCTGCCCCTCATAAAGTGTCTACTCTTCTCAAAGCTGCCGAGCTGAGTGCTACACTGAGGCAGTTATGAGGTCCTTAAGGCCACATGGTCCTATTCACTGCTCACCACATCCCACTTGGCCCTGCTAACCCTCTGACAGCTGTCAATTTAGAAGGGGCTGAGAGTGGTGGAATTACTGTTGTAATAACCTCACAATACATTCCCCAAGCCGCTGGGCCATTCAATGGTGCAGACATGGAGCGAGGAGGTCGACAGATTATGACTTGTACTCATGTCACTCTTTGCGAGTGACGTCTGACGCCAGCTAGGGCTGTAGTTAACGATGATTTTCATCATAAATGATCGATTAACACACTTCTGACACAATACTAAGGTGCAAGAAGGCCAAATAAATCGAATGGTTAATCTACCCTGATAATAGTCTATAGTTGTATTGCTTGGCTACATGTATGTCAATAAAGACTATCATTAAAGGCTTTCTATTCTCCATCGATACTCAATTATTAGTCCGAAAACAGTAAATATAAAAGGAAGTCCTTTTGTGGATTCTGAATCACAAATTAAATAAAGTAAACCCAGCTACATGCCAGATATTCTGTCATTTAAATGTTTGGATTTTCTGCTGGATAAATGACTTAAAAAGATACTCTATATTAAGCACTTCTTTTAAGTAAGGCTAGGTCACATCGCCAGCAAGGCTAAAAAAGAATGTTCAAAATGGACGAAAACATGTTCTGTTAGTATACTTTTCCAAAACATTTTGAAATTGTAAAGATGAAGAACTTATTTTCAACCATACTGCCCCGATTGAGTCATCGGTGATATTCATCAGACTTTGCAAAGCTCCAGAGCCAATAAAACAGTTTTTTATGGGCTGTCTGGAATTCTTTATGATGACTACACTAAACTTGTGTAAAACTGGAGCCACCTTAAATAGACTTCCCAAATAGTGGATGTATATTATGTTGATCAACTAATAGGCTTCTTGCTCCAGCACTTGGCGTTCCCAAAACCCCCCAAGCCCTCATTGTGCTTCAGCCAATAACAAGTCACAGCATTACAGCTCCAACATGTGAGTTTCCCTTCCAGGCATGCTAGCGCAAGTCACAGACATTCGCTCCGCTTCCTGTAACATCGGAGATTGAAACATGATCACGCTGGAATTCAAAAACAACTGGTTGAAGATTACCTGAAGTGGCAGCCGTGTTGCTGGAATGATGTCACAATGAGGAATAACCCCTCCGCAGTATGGATACATGTTTGAATTGTGTAGTTCTAATGACCTCACCGTGTGTGTGTGTGTGTGTGTGTGTGTGTGTGTGTGTGTGTGTGTGTGTGTGTGTGTGTGTGTGTGTGTGTGTGTGTGTGTGTGTGTGTGTGTGTGTGTGTGTGTGTGTGTGTGTGTATGTGTGTGGTTGTGTCTAGAGCAGCAGGGCCTGCTTTGGGTTTGCACTACATTATCCTCTTTTATAGGACAGCACTGTAGCGGAGAGATCCCTTGAAACTTGAATTCATTAATATCCGTCAACGATAAACAATGAGAAAAATGCACAGCCAAGAAATCCAATAGCTTACAGACTTACCAATTCATACTGTACACTTCAGGCTACAAGCAGAGGAGAATCGATGAGACGGACCCGCTCCCTCTGCTCCCTCATCAACTTTTGATTACAAGAAGTTGTGGTATTTCAGAAGCTATTATTAGAGATAAAATAAGTGGGAACTTGTTGTTCTCTCTCGCCCTTTCTTTCCTCTTCTAGTTCCCCGTGTTATCTTGTGTATACGTTTCCCCTTTTTCTTTTCATTCACAATCTTAGTTTTCCTCTTCCGTCTGCAGTGTTTGTTTGTCTAAAACAGGAACAAAGCCTGAATTAATTAACTAGTGTGGACTGAAACTCCCAAGGTAGGCCTTTTTACATCCCCGCACCATGTCTGTCAATCTCTTTGGCTCTCTCAGCAGGCCACCCTTTCTTTGCTTTCCTCAGTTTTTGGCCATTTACTTTGCTCCCATCTCTTTATCCTGCGTCTCTTTGTCCCCTTCCCACCCAGAAATCTCTCCCTGCACTGCTCTTTCTCTGCAGTGCTCTTGTAGTTCTCTTTGCTTTTAACGTCTCTCCACTGTAAACATGTTCCACTACTAATTGGCCCTGACCTTCCCTTTCTTTGGATGCTGTGTACAGCCCGGGGAAGGAGGGACAGCAAAAAGCTTTTTTGAATTCATCCTTCAATAATTAACTAAAGGGGAAATGAAACAAACAGGAACGGGCAAGGAAGCAGACGACTGTTCAGTGCCAAAAGAAGTCCCGGCGACATCTCTGAAACCATTACATTATCACACACTATGAATTGCCTAAGGACCGTGAAATCAAAGACAAATACAAAAAGTTACAAGCATCCAGAGGGAGCTAGTATGAGCAAGAAGACAACTATTGACCACTTGTGAATTACGAATCAAAACTAAAGGAATCCAATTTTAGGTAATCTAATTTGTGTGCTCCAATCTGCTGTATAATCTAATTTGTATATTTCCCTCAACAAAATTAATGAACCGACCATTGAGAATCTGCTCACAAAAAAAACGAATTTGGTAATGAAGTTAAAACATCAAACAAAGGAAAATTAATTAAAATGCTTATCAATGTATATAGTCTGTCAGGGAATGTTATTTTCAAAAGGCTGTCTATCTGTTGGCAGCCTGTTTTCACTTCAGCCGCCTCGCCTTCTTTGCACCTAATAAAAAGAATACCTGCAGGAGGAAACAGAAGGAAAAGAGGCAGATGGAGGCAGATAAGGATGTGAACAGGAGACATGTGGAGGAAGAGGAGACAGGGGTAGATCAGACACGTGATAAACAATGACAAAAGCACAAAAACAGAGAAAAACTAACGAGTGAAACAGAAGGATGTATCTAACACGTCATCATCTTTTGTGGAGACGGCAAACAAAAATGAGATCAGCAGGCATGGAAATGTTGGCCGTGCTCCGAGGAAGAAAGAGATGGTAGAGTATATCCCTGAAAAGTTGTCATGGCCATGGGCGATTTGCTTTTTCTTTGACTCATAATTAACTAAACACTAGTTGTATGAACACGGACATCCTTAAACAGTGATGTAAACGTGATATCCTTTTAAAAAGTATAATCAAAGGTCAAAAAGTTACTAGCTCTTTGACCTTTGATTGACCTTTTTAAAAAGGGCAAAATAAGGAATTTAACATTACATGGATTGTTTTGAGATACAACGGGTGTCTTCCTAGTGAATGCATTCATATGGAAACATTGAGTTCTTCATCTACTACTGCAGTGTGTAACAAAGAACAAATCCGAGCCAAGCCGTGCCACTGCAGACTTGGAGCGCTTCAAGGACAGATGTTAGGCATGACACAGAGGGAGAGAGTCTGGACACTTGTTACTCAATTATTTAAGAAGACACATCACCCCCCAATGGAAGATGAATAAGCTCTCAGTGATAGGCCCCGGAATCATCCTTTATCTGCTGTGTCCACCAGCTGGAGTCCACTGCACACACACACACACACACACACACACACACACACACACACACACACACACACACACACACACACACACACACACACACACACACACACACACACACACACACACACACACACACACACACACACACACACACACACACACACACACACACACACACACACACACACACACACACACACACTGCACTCAGGTGGGCATGCTGGCACACACAATGTAATAGGCAAAGTGGTGTGTAGGCTATCAGTGCTGTCGGAACACTGGAAATTGTACATGCCACATTAATATTCTAAGACTTCTCATCCAATGCAGCAAAACAGCATCAATACAGAGACATTGCATAATTAGAAATGACTCTCCAATTACCAAACACACCAGTCTAATTCAGCATTACTCAGTCCAGCCAGGCTGCTGAGCTACGGGTCTGCAGCCAGGCGGTTATGCCACTGGGTACGCAACATAATAAAATATTCATTTGGCTATACAGTTGAATCATTAAGGGTCACGGTCATGACTGTTTTGGATACAGTGAGAAATTATGACTTGTTCGCATATTATTGTATGAGAATCATTTCTCAACCGCTACCATTGTATCCAACATTTTGAGAACATAGACTCGAGCTGCAGAGATTAGTGGACTAATCGATTAGTCTATTTGACAGAAAATGTATCGTCAACTATTTTGATAATAGAAAATTGTAATAGTAATTTTTCAAGCATTATTTTCTAACATATTATGACCAAAGTTACCATGGTGAAGTGAGCAAGTACGAGTCAACTTGTAAACCTGTGTAATTACTATGCATTGTGTCTACATACCTTTAAAGCGCAGTGCATTGGCCAGTATCAGACCTCCAGCCTTAGTCTGGATTTGATTCACTAGAGGAGCTCCTTCCTGCCCCCCCCCCCAGCCCAGCCTTAGCCCAGCCATGGAGCTGCTTCAGGTCAGCCTTGGAGTCTCCTTTTCCCAGAGGCTGATGCTGCAGCATAAACCTGGCCTGGCACTCTTTCACAAATGCCTCGCTGACTGGAGATTGAAAACAGGACTGATGACGCGCAGGTGAAAAAGCTGGTACCATTAGCTTTAGTGAAGCTCTTCAACGCCTCAGACAGAAGGTCTTCAGCTCCAGCCTTGGCGGGGGTCGAGGTCTTGAGGAGGTATTTGAGCTGGCTGGAAGTGGTGCCTGCTGAGCCCCCACCGAGCGCTCCCAGTGAGGAGGCCACAAGCAGAGGGGAGAAGACGGTGTTCTCACAGCTGGAGTCAGAGTGGAGGGCCTTGTACAGATGCAGACCAAGAGTCCAGCTGGGGTCACCAAGGTGGGGAGGCGGGCGGGGTGCAGGGTTCTGCTTGGAGGAAACAGCAGTGCTGCCCTGCACCAGAACAACTGGCAAAGAAATTATGAAATAGACAGGAAGCCTGGGGAACATGGCAGATCTAGAGGAAACAGAGCAGAGTCAGTACAAATAATGTGTGAAGAGATGGATGAAGAGAATGCATTCTTCACATTTAGTACACAAAGATATATCTATATTATAACATATTTTAACGGCTTTTTAACAGTGTAGTTGCTACTCATGCTGTTATTGCTCTGTTCATATTTTAGATAAAGCAATATAAACACAGCCTAAGGGTTCCCTCTCTGTTGTAAAAATACATCTACTTGTGCAAACAGCAGTCCCTGCTCCTACACAGCCACAACTTGATGTTGTAAATTCCTCCCACTTGGCAACACGGTTATTATCTCACCCGCTGCGCGAAAACCAGTGTGACAATTAACTTAAATTAAGTTTCGAAGGAAGCTTTTTAGCATTCGCGTTTCTCTATTGTGCCTTGCAACAAAAAAAAAACACTCATCAGCGAGCCGGTGACAGGACTGACGGCTAACATCTGCCGTCTGGTCCAGCCTACTCTGTTATGATTTCCGAAGACCTCCAGGCGAAAAGGAAAGGCGGAAAAAGCGTATTTGTTTAAAGTTACCCTTAATTAATTCAAGTGTATCCTTCGCTGCTGCTGCTCCTTTTTAAAGTTACGTCCTCCAGAGGAAGTGGGGCTGTGAGTGGGTTTATACGTGGCAGCTCTCGGAGGAAGTTTACCGTCTCCCCTTAACTTCATCCCGGGAAAGAGTTCAGTTTTTCCAGAAACTTCCACGCTTCCCGTTTAAACTGCCACTGAGCACTATTTGAGTTTAACGGTGTTAATTAAGACTTAAGAAACATTTCGTAAAACTTTAAATACGACCCAAAATACGTAACCATAGTGGTTTTAGGCTGAGTCTCATACTTTGAAAAGCGCTATTTAAAGCCCGTTCTGTTTCAAAGCCGAGCCCGTGTTTCAAGCATTACATTTGACTCAATTTTATTGCAGCAATACTACAAATAAAAGCTTAATACGCAACTTCATGTATACAAAATATGTATAATCTATTATATAAGCTAACCACTGGAGAAAATCTACGGTTGGGACACTTTAAAGTCAGCTGTGGTACATGTATCGTTATGCAGGAGTTATACATTTAAGCCATACAAAACCATCATTAAATATGCTAAAGTCCCTGTAGGGGTATATTACAGCCGTTCCCTGTGAGTTTGGCAGGAATTATGTGCATGTAATGTTGGGCCTGTTTTTTAAGCGAACAGAATTCCACCAGTTGCAATAAATGAGGCGTTTCTCCGCATTTTTAAAAGCAAGCTTTGTGGGTTTGCCTGGATAATAAAGCCTCAGTGGGGGTTGTAGTTCCCAAAGCCATTCAAGCGGGGTCGCTAATGGTCTTCTCATCGCCTCAGCTCAGTGACCCTGAGAGGCTGCAGCATGTGGGCCAGGGCCTCGCAAACTTGACACCCAGCCCTCCCAGTGGAGAGGAAATAGACCACAGAGCCAGCAGGCAGAGGCTTGATCCAGGCAAATCCACATGAGGGGTTTTAAGATGGGATTTAGTGTTACATTTGTCTGCATTTGTGTGATCTAATACGGGAACGGGAATTGACACTATAATGTTTAAAACAGCCCTTCCAGGTTATTTATTTCTAGTTAGCCTAATGAAATTACACTTGCAGGTGACTTCCACCCACTCCCAGCAAACCTCAACACCCACCCCATTTTGCATATGTAGTCCACTGTCAAGGAAAAGTAGGACAGGCCATGCAAGCCTGTTCTGACCCTTCCAAATGTCCTCATTCTGTATTCTCGTCAGTTTTTATGTTTCTCGCTTTCCCAAATTGTACTTTCCCTCCCTCTAAAGCAGGACAAGGAGTGTAGAGCAGATAACTTGTTACCCACAGCTTCGGGACAAGGATTATTGCCCAAATTGAAAGATGGAGAATGGTCATATGAGGTCCTAATCGATAAATGTAGAGATAGACTAAGGAGGCTAGAGAAGGATCAAAGAGGGATATGGAGGAAGATAACTGCGAGACCACCAATGCTCAGCAATCAGGCCGAACATGACAGCTTGTAGACCCAACCAATTATTTACCCCAGCCAAATCAATAGAGCTCTCTCCGAAGATAACCATCAGCAGCACTATCTGGAACACATTCACAGCAGAACTCGCAAACACACACTGAGCTGCCACTCTCCCTCTCCGTCTCTTTTGCAAAGACACACAAGCTTCCCTCGCAGACACGTATTTATCAGACTTCCTTGGAAATAAGACAAAAATCATTTAATTATTGAACATATACACTGAAAAGAGAAGCATTAAAACAGCATATGTCAAACTGTGCCAACAGCAAACGTGAAATTGCATCTCTTAAAAGAAACACACACTGGCACACACATTGGTTAATGGCGTTGAGACTGTACCCACAGCATGTACACATGTAAGTTGAGACGAGTCGATGTGTGCGACGTCAAAGGTCTTAACCGTCACCGCAGGAGTCACAGCCCCCTCCTGGGACCCCCCAGTCCAACATCACAGTCAGTTTCATCAGTAATGAGCAGTGACATATATTGCAGTGCAGGTGATTCATAAAAAACAGGGCTTGATCCGCCGATTAACGAGTCCCCGAGGGAACTGCTTGGTAACCTGAGAACAATCCCGGTCATTGGGTTGTGCATCTGGGGATTTATAAAAAGGGATGCACTTTTAACCATAATGCAACACCAAATCTCACCTGCAGCCTGCCCTAATGTTCACTTTCACCTCTCAGCACCTCGTTCAAGCCTGGAGCCTTGATTCAGTTTTCCAGCTCCAAATGTCATTGTTTCGGGCAGTAAACGATATATTTCACCTAACGTGTTATCAGTTTATGTGGCCATTGTTCTCGGTTGTTGTCGAGGTCAAGCGCTTGTGGCTCTTAGGCTCGCTTTCAGAATCAACACCTCTCAATGAAGGCTGTTACGGTCACTGCCAACTGGCCTACAGCTATTCTGTCCCTCTTCATGCGATATTCATTTTCTCCTCAAAACACACATTATAGCTTTATTTTATTCTACCCCTCACTATCCCTTCACTGTTTTCAAAATTGAATATTTTACTTTGCACTACATTAGCCCTGCTTTCTTAGAATCCTTTTCAATCTGTTCCTCTTTCCCTTCATCCATCCCTCCTTGTCACTGTGCCTGAGGTTTAAGTAGTTCCCTCTGTACTCCTCCAACCTCTGGGGGCTCCACACACACATCTATTTCCTCCCCTTTCTCTGCCTGGAAAATAAGTGACATTTCTGAAACATAAAGCAGACCGAAGCCCTTTACAGTACCTAAAACAAAAACTCAAACTTTTCTTATGAATATATTAAAGTGTCCTCCCACAGCCGCCTTCCTCTCCCACCCTTTCCTCCACCTCCCCTTACTCACTGTCGACCCATTTCCTCTCTACTTCTCCACTAATTTCACCCCTACTCCTACTCTTTTCCCATCTCTCCCCTGCTCCTTCTCCCTTTCCAACGCTGTCTAAATGTCTCCCCGTCCCTCCGTGTCTCGCACTTTTTGGAGTCAGTACAGAACAAACAGCATGTAACATGGGAGCCCCTGTTCTCGTCATTTCTGGTCAGCCTGTCTGTCATCAGCTCGGGTCCGTTTCAACTAGTACAGAGCCGGTTTGGGCCCGTCTGGTTAAACCCACAGGGCCCTGTTAGTTTACATCAAGTTCCATTGTGGTCCTTTCAAATTAGAGCTCTTACTTAATGTCTGGCCAAGCTGCTAAGCTGCAACCATGATTTTGATTGAAGCCTATCCAAAGCTTCACCATTGCTTGTGCCAAACCCTGACTTTTAAAAACAGGGACACATAATAACCTAACAGGAATATTGAAAGGTCATCAGGAGTTTGACCTTTGCACTTGTATTTAGGATTTACATGTTAATTGATATGCTAAAAAACAACTAAGGCAAATTAGGTTAGACGATTGGAGACAAAAGTAAAAAGACAGTGCAAATATAAATAAATCATTTTGGAACACAGAAAGTTAAAAGGGAAGTTTAAGTCTGCTTTACTGAAGTTCTAAAAATAACATTTGAGATGAGATTCGAGGAGAGGGGAAGGAACATGTCCCCCAACTGGGATGTTTTTTAACACACTTTGAATCTAGGGCAAAACTCTATAAGGCTACAGGAGGTATGACTGGACAGATGGAAGGAAAGGAATATGTGTTTTTAATCGATGGGGGAGAAAGAGAGAGGGAGCAGTGGGAGAGAAAGGTGAGGAGGGGCAGTGGCGGTTGGGGTCGGGGTGAACATGTTGAACAGTGCCAAAATCACAGACACATCTGCTGTTCATCTCGAATGTTTCCAATAAGCTTTACATGTTTCCTGAAGCCCTGTGAAAGTGTACCGAGCTGCCAAGACAGAAGGGGGGGGGGGGGGGGGGGGGGGGTTTGATTTTCTTTGTGTGCGTGTACGTGTTGAAAAACTAGGTGGTATCTCACCCCTTTTTTTCATTAGTCGCTCCTATAAATTAACCAAACTTGATACACAGAAGTAAAAAAGACAAGGGTACACACACATCTTTTCAGGCGCACAGGCAGACAGCGAGGAAGGCAAATAAGTGGCTTTTAATGTGCTCAGTGAGTCAGGGAGAAAAGCAAATGCCAAGCACCCACAAGAGTACACAGCTGCTTCAAGGAAGTGTTGACAACTATCTTTATAGGAATTAAATATTGCTCTTTACCACGCCCCCAAGTAACCGCCACACACCTGTGACTCACATCACTCGCTCAGAATCCATAAATCAACATGTACGCTTTTTGATGCATCACAGACAAACTCCTATTAAATGTGGCTCACACGCACACACACCTAAGACTGTCAGAAATGTGGACACACTTTGAAAGACCGATATGTTGACACACACACACACACACACACACACACACACACACACACACACACACACACACACACACACACACACACACACACACACACACACACACACACACACACACAAGCTTATATCCTCTGGCTGTGAGTTTGCCAGCAGCCAGCTGGTACTGTCATGTCTGATAGGCTGGAACAGAGAGACGGAGAGGAGGCCGGGAGAGGAGAGAAGGAAGGAGGGAGGCAAGCTGGGAAAATGTCGACAGCAGAATGCATTAGTAAGATTGGGAAAACTGTATCAAACCCTGGCAACTCATTACACTGTCTCATTTTAGTCCACAGGGAGTTCCCCCCCGTCAACTCAAACCGCTAACTAAACCACATTTTTCTCTGTCTGTCGCCTTCTTCTTCTCTTGAGTGACCTTCCATTTGTGTCTTTCATCTCGTCATTTTTAACTATGATCGTGACAGGGATGAATCGTGCATTACCACTTTGTATAAGTGAGAGATGATGTTTTTTTTAATAAAAGGACGTTTTTACTTTCTGCTCTACAAGACAATAATTAAAATGGGGATCAAGAGCAATCACTCAGCAATTAATCCATGATGTGAATAGCCAAAAAAGGAGTAATATTATTCCAGTATTTTGCAATGTCTCACTTTATGTGAATTTGTTGTTAGATGGAGATGTGAACAATGTATTATTGTAATGTTAAAAGTGCCAATCAAACTATTTGATTGATTTTATTTCGAACAAGTAAAATAAATAATTACAAAAACAAATAAATGTTGCAGTGCATAGTCAT